TCTTGGGTGATGTGGGGCTTGTCTCTGAGCCTTGATGTCCCCTTCAGCCACATGGTCATGACATAGCGTGGGAAACGTTTGGATGATTGTCTCCACCAGACAGTAGAGAAAATGGAGCCTCAAGAAAGTAAAATAAGATGTCCAAGATCACAAAAAAATTAATTAATTAAAAAAAATTTTTTTAATTTGCCTTGTCGCCTAGAAATCTTATTTTAGCTTTCTCTACAAAAATGTATTGTTTTGGCTGGGTGCAGTGGCTCATGCTTGTAATCCCAGCACTTTGGGAGGCTGAGGTGGGTGGATCACCTCAGGTCAGGAGTTCGAGACCAGCCTGACTAATACGGTGAAACCCCAGTCTCTACTAAAAAAGAAAAATGCAAAAATTAGCCAGGTATGGTGGCAGGCACCTGTAATCTTAGCTACTTGGGAGGCTGAGGCAGGAGAATCACTTGAACCCAGGAGGCGGAGGTTGTAGTAACCCAAGATCGTGCCATTGCACTCCAGCCTGGGCAACAAAGCAAGACTCCGTCTCAAAAAAAAAAAATAAGAAAGAAAAAAAAAGTATTGTTTTAACGTATGATAAACTACAGCTGTTTTTAATGTCTACATAGATATATAAGCTTCCAACTTCGTGAACTGTGAACTAAATTAACTTATTCTCACCACTTAGTTACTATGGTTACTTGGCATTTTGAGAAGTAACATTTGAGGCTTTTACTGAAAAAAATTCTGATGACCCATGATACGTAGTAATTTGCAATTTTCTTTGAAATGAATTTTAGGAGTGCAGGGTGGGCCTTGAAATCCAGAATTGTTAATCATCTAATGCCTAAACATAAGCTGCTAATTATTGTTACAATTTAACACATACTTTATCCAGAAAATTAAATTAAATGAGTTTATGAAAATTTGATGATACATTTGCATATTAGATCATATATCTTGACAACACCAAAATGTACCGTATTTAATAAGAACAGCAGTTTCAGAAGATTCTTGCACTACATCCAAATGGTAAAACAAAGGGTTCAAAAGTTTATCATTTTAGACTGCAATTTAAGTCTAGTTATCTATTTTCAAAAAAAATGTGCCAAAGCTTTTCAGCATCCTGACAGCAAACCCTGTGGCAGGGCTCTTCCTCAGCACCACCGATGTTCTGGGCTGGATGATTGTTTGCTGTGGGGGCTGCCATGTGCATCACAGAATGTTCAGCAGCATCTCTGGTTTCTACCCAATATATGTCCCCTCCCCCTAGTTGTAACCACTGAAAATGTCCCCAGACATTGCCAAATGTCCTCTAAGGGCAAAAACCACCTGTTTCCCCATTAAGAACCCTGGTCCAAGGTGGTTATTCTCCCTGATACACTCTCTCACCAATCTATCTGAGCACTAGAGAAAGTTAGGATGTATTTTCCCAACATTCTTCAAAGGCTTCATTGATTTGAGCAATTTTTTTGAGAGTTCATTTGTAAGCTTTCCCTCCCACTGCTTTGATATAAAAGACCTGCAGGAATACAAGCCTCTAAAGGCGTCTGTAGCAAGTGTGGGTTCATTTTAGTTCACACGGCTGAGAAATCACGCTTGGCATGGATGTTGTAGTGCTTTCTGTGCCCTTACTTGGTGGGGAAAAAAAGTTCCTGCTTTTCACAAGAGGAGGCAAGGAAGCATCAACAACACCCTTCAGTCTAAGGGGAAGTGACTGGTAAGTTTCAGGTGGCAAGAGGCTGATGATCTGCACTGTCTTGTAACCGCCAGCTGCATTTTCACATAAATATCATACTGCCCTTTTAGATCTGGGTATTGTGATTGGGCTCATGAAAGTTTCCTTAGAGATAATCTTATATGAAAGTACATATTTTTTATCAAGCAAATGGGCAATATTTGAGTAACAATAATCTCCTGACTCATTTGGTTGTTAATCTCCATTTCAGAATGTTGATTTTTTTTCCCTCGTCCCATAAAATCTTACTAACATTAGTTTCTGGGAAAGGAGGAAGCAGTAATTGACTCAACATTGCTCCTGAGCTGGCTTTTCTACTTGGTGTGAAGCAAGTTTTCTTTTAATAAAATACTGGACTATCACATGTAATAAATCCTAGAATTCTTTCACTCTGAATTTTGTGTTTTACAAGAGTACAATTAGCCTTCTAGCCTTGTCCTGTTAAGTTTTAAACTTTTTAGCTGTGTAGAAGTGTTTTTGTTATGCTGGTACAGTGGGGTTTTTGGGTTTGCCAATTTCTGGCAGTTGGGCTTTTTTTTAATTCACTCCCGTGTTTTTAAATCTATTCTACAGGGCGACTTACAGATATTTTCCAGACCACCTTTCTACTACTCTTTCTTTCACTTTCCATAGCATCCCTGTGCCCCTGGGTTCTCTGCGTGTGAGCACTGAATGTTGGCCTTCTGGCTGCAGTCTTGGGATGCAGGGTCTTCGTGCCCTTCCCTCCACATGTAGAAAACTGTGGCAAAGAAAGGTTTTGCAGGAGGAATTGGGAGGAGGACTAGAAAAAAAAATACTTGAATCTATAAGTTTTGCAAGCTCACAACAGATGAATCTAAGGAGTTCTGTTTGGTTTGATTTGGTCTGGGTTTTTAAAAATATTATTGTCCCTTTACCTGAAGTGTTTTTTCATTTCAGTCTCAAGACTTCCTTATGCATAAAAACTTGCTTAAAATATTGTCTCCTGAAATTAGGGTTGTTGAGGCAGGAATAATTTGATAAAGATTTATTGGAAGCCAAATGTCAGGATTGATGCAGGAAGACACACCAATGAAGTTGAGGGTGTTCCAAAGTCTGTTACAAGTTGGAAAGCTTTTGTAACGAAGTTTAGGAGGAGGGATAGGGGCTCTTCACATCGGAGTTGTCATTTTTCATTGGGGGGTACAATACAGAGGTTACAATCATTGGATGCAGATGACAATGTATAGGCTAAAATATTTTATGCACAAAATAATCAGTAAAACTTCATGATTCAGAAACAAATCCATATCCTTTCTGATGTCAGTAGGTTACATATTAATCAGTGCATCAAACTAGCTCAGAAGTTACATTGAACCCGAATTACATCAAAGTTTGGATGTATGAGCAAATCTGGTCATAGGTTACAGAGGTATCCTTCAATCAGACATTATCTTATGTGTAGGAAAAGGCAAGGACTATGATTGCTTATCTTTTAAGAAGTAGAGTGACTCAGGCAAGAGAGATGGGAAGCCATGTGTTCAATCTTGTTTGTCTTTAAAGCTTCTTTCCCGAGAGCTGCAGGTATCACAGAGTCAGGGGCTTTGTGGAAGTATGCCAGCAAGAAGAAATGAGCAAACATGGCTTCTTACATTTGCTACTTTGTCTCACAATATAACACATTAGAAAAAGGGTTGGATGTGACCAGTAATTGCAGAAAAATGGAGCCAAGCCTATTTCATGGACTGTGAAGGGGTTGATGTGGATTCTCTGTTAAGACTGCATAACCAGTGGAAGCCATGGAGCATGCTGGGTTGTCACAGTCTTACTTAGGCACAGTGTTTCCTTGTGTTTGTTCCAGGGAGGATGGTGGATTTTCCAGGGTACAATCTGTCTGGTGTAATCGCCTCCTTCTTCTTCATCCTGCTGACAATGAAGCAATCAGGTAGGATTCCTTTTTCCCTTTACTATACAGTCTAAAGTCCCAGGGAGCTAGCCTGGGTCCAAAGGTCTAGAACAACATCTAAGCATGTAAGTCTGGGGCCTACGCACCTGTGTCCAAGAAGGAACTCCTGACTTTTAAGGAGTTCCTCCACTCCCTGGAGCTCCTCCACTCCTAGCTGAATCACCTTTGGAAAGTTACTTGAGCACCTCATGCCTTAGTTCTTTCATCTTTTTAATGAGAATAATAGTAGTAACTATGTCCCAGAGGCCAGCACAGGCTTTAGGACTAAATGAGACATTAAAAGCACTTGAACCAGTGGTTGCACCATGTTAAATTCTCTCCTGCTTCCAACAGGACAGTACTTTGGGGTCAAGAAATGCAGCTGCTTCTTACCATGAATTAAGCTGCAAAAAAATTAAATAAATAAAAATAAGAATTAGAAGGAGACCTCGAAGAAATGGACTTGGAAATCTCACTAGCCGAATTTTGTCAGTCAAATGTTGCACCTTGAAAAGAATTATAAAAATTCAGTGTGCCCATCAATGATAGACTGGATAAAGAAAACGTGGCACATATACACCATGGAATACTATGCAGCCATTAAAAAGGATTAGTTCATGTTCTTTGCAGGGACATGGATGAAGCTGGAAACCATCATTCTCAGCAAACTAACACAAGAACAGAAAACCAGACACCAGATGTTCTCACTCATAAGTGGGAGTTGAACAATGACAACGCATGGACACAGAGAGGGAAATGTCATACACCACGGATTATCAGGGGGTGGGGGGCTAGAGAAGGAATGGCATTAGGAGAAATACCTAATGTACATGACGGGTTGACGGGTGCAGGAAATCACCATGGCACGTGTATACCTATGTAACAAACCTGTACGTTCTGCACAGGTAACCCAGAAATTAAAAGTATAATTTAAAAAAATTTTTTTTAATTCAGTGTCAGAGGGAGATGTCAGAGTCCCAAGGAAAATGCAGCATGGCAAACTGGGAAAAAAACATTGGACAGGGCATGAGAGGGCACGGGCTCTGCCTCGGCCCTGCAGCACTGGTGTGGTGTGATGAGGCTGCTGCCTGCTCTGCGCTGTGCTGCAGCTCCCTGCCCTGTAACAGTCAATCTGATGGGGTGTCTTCAGTTCTAGCTTCATTATTCATTAATGAATAACGCAAGCAGATCTCCACTTAGGCTCTTTAGCCACCTTTTGAGCAGCAGCTATTTGATACCCAGAAGTAGCTAAGTAGGGGGAAGTTCTTCTTAGCAGGATTGGATCTGCACAGAGAAAGAGCAAATGGCCCCAGAGCATTTAGGATGAGAAAGAACATATCATACATGACATAAAATGATCAAATATAATAACATACATAACTGTCAAACATCTCTTCAATTTGGAGATACACGGAAGAGATCAGACATGTCTTAGAATTTGTTTGGAAGACTCAAAATCTCTAGGCAAACCACTGTTCTTAATCCAGCACAAAATGTCCTTTTGAAAACTGCCTTGTACATAGTCCCAGTAATTGGCCTCTTGCCTACTCCAGGCAAAAAAAAAAAAAAAAAAAAAAAAAGCTCACTTTCATATCTAGGCGAAGAGGAATCCTGACAGGCTAAAAAAGCTAATAATTGATTTACTACCTAAATTTTAGGAAAATAAAATGTTAGCAACAAGAATAAGGTTTCCAATTTAAAAGTCGATTTACATGAAGACAAATGACTCAAGTAATAAATAATTTACTTGAGAATAAAAAAAAACAGGTATGGTGGTGTTAGTATCTTAAAGATGAAGAAATTAAGACTTCAAATCTCAAAATCTTACCAAGAATAATAGATTTGCCCCCAAATCACATAGCTGGTACGTGACAGACAGCAATCTCACTCACATTTTTGAACTGCATTTATTTTCAGTACACAAAATGACTGTGTAACAAACAAATGTGCAATTCTTCATGCCAGATTTCTCCAAAACATGAAACATACATCCCACCCTCTTCTAATTGCCTCCATTTTGTTAGACTGGACACCCCAAAGCATGCATATTGATTTTCTGGTTGGCATTTCCTCATCCCTCTTTTTCACTCATTTTGTAGATGACTTTAGAGTCATTGGTCCTGCTCATCCTATCCTGGCCAGGGTTGGGGAAGATGTCCTGCTAACCTGCCAGCTGCTCCCCAAGAGGACCGCAATGCACATGGAGGTGAGGTGGTACCGCTCAGAGCCCAGCACACCTGTGTTCATGCACAGGGATGGAGTGGAGGTTACTGAGATGCAGATGGAGGAGTACAAAGGCCGGGTAGAATGGATAGAGGATGGCATTGCAGAGGGAAGCGTGGCACTGAAGATATACAACATCCAGCCCTCCGACAATGGACAATACTGGTGTCATTTCCAGGATGGGAACTATTGTGGAGAAACAAGCTTGCTGCTCAAAGTAGCAGGTGAATATCTGGGGAAAGACACAGGGTCTCAGGAGGCAGAAGTATATTTGGTGGTAAGCTTTTTGTCAGTTGAGGAATTCCCTTTGAATCACCAAGCTAATTCCTAATGCTTAGTCCTCTACACTGATTGATTTTAAAATAAGTGGTTCTTGAGTCTTCAAAGCAAGCTTAGTGTTAAAATATTTTCCAAAATTTAATTTGCACAGTTTTGACTGTTCTTGAGGATTATTGGAAATCCATGACATGCAGTCATTAGCAATTTTGCTGAGACACACATTTGTGCTGCCTAAGGCTGGTGTGCAAGAGCAAGCCAATTGCTGCATGAGTGAGCCCAGCTGACTGCCCCACATCTGTATCTCAGGGCCTCGGTTGTTCTCTACCCAACCCCGCCTATGCAGAAACTGGGTGTGAAAAGGTTCTTTCTTGGTGAAATGCCCTCAGTTAGAAAGCTAACAATGAGACTGAAGAGGCCAAGAACGTTGTGCTTTGGAGATTGCCACGTACTAATGTTCAATGAATTGGGGCCTCACAGATTATTTTGGACACACCCACTGTGAATGGGAAGGTTCTTCAGATTGCTGTTTTATTAGCTAAGCAGGAAGGGGTGGGTAGGAAGGGGACAACTGAAGAATGGATCTGTCTTATGAAATGTAAACCATGACATGATTCCCTGACAGGACTAACTCCTCTATGCTCTAAAGAGAAAATCAAGTAAATCCAATTACTAAGGTAAATGGGAAAAAATAGTTTTCTGGAGATGTTAACATCCCCGGCTGATACTGCTTCCTTCTTTACTTCCCTAGGAGGCTGTTTCCTAATAACTTTTTTTCCTTAACATTCGTTACTTTTATTATGTTCGAGGTGATTCAAAACAGATGGAAGATTCCATGTATTTCTGAGATGTGAGGAACAGGGAACATAATGCTGTATTTCAATATAAGGAACATTTACAAATAAGTCACAAGTTTTCTAAGGCTCCAAGGGAAGGGAGTAGGTCTCCCCTTTACCAGCAAGTGATTAACACAGAATTCCCATTTATGGAAAATATAGTCCTCTTAGTTTGGGTTTGGGAGTTTCATACTAGAGGGGGAAAAATCATGAGTTCATAAATTGTTCTAAATTAAGATTTCTGAAAACCATCCTACCCATTGAATAGAATATTTAGCTACAAAAAAACTCATGGATCTTCACATTTCACATACTCCCATTTATCCACCTGCTTTCCAAGATTACAGCCACCAGCAAAAGATTCAGAAAGCACAGGCCCCAGGGAAGTGATTTCTGACTTTATGTTAAATATTCTGTCTAAATTGGAGTTTCAGACATCATCTAAAATGTTAAACAATGTGCCCAATACAGATAATTTTAAGATGAAAAAGGCGGAGTTCATGGCACAGGGGAATTAATGAATAAATTACACTACATCTCTGTTTACAGTGCTAGAGGCATTGCAAAATGTCATCATGTCCCCCTTCTCTGATTCCCCTTTCTGGATCTGGAGAAAAATACTTGTCCGATGCTAAAATGTAAAGACCCAGACTGGGGAACAAATAAAGTGTATCTGTACTCAAATTTGAATGAGGAGACTTTGGTCAACTTTCTGCTCCTCAGACTCCTGAACTCCGACCATCTGTCCCTGTGAGCAGCGTCATTGCCATCTCAGTCTCTGTGATTTCTGCTCCATGGGCTCTGGGTGTCAGAGCTGTGGCTTCCCTCTGCAGGTCTGGGGTCTGCCCCTAACATTCACATTGAGGGATCTGGGGAAAGTGGAGTCCAGCTTGTGTGCACTACAAGGGGCTGGTTCCCAGAGCCCCAGGTGTATTGGGAAGACATCCAAGGAGAGAAGCTGCTGGCTGTGTCTGAGCATCACATCCAAGATGAAGATGGCCTATTCCATGTGGAAACCACTCTTGTGGTCAAGAACGCCTCTGCAGAGTCCGTGTCCTGCTTCATCTACAACCCTGTCCTCAGTGAGGAGAAGGGGGCAGTTATCAGCATCCCAGGTCAGTGCTCTGCCTCTAGGACCACCATGCTCAGAACAGCCGGAGAGGTCCCAGGGACTGCACCACAACACCCATATTTTTATCAAGAGACATATCTATCATTTAGTAATATGTATTGAAAGCTATAAAACATTTATGACTGGAAATATATGCATTCCATTTTAACTGAATAGCTATTATAGCACTTCCATTATTTTTGAGTTCTACCTTTTCTTCTTCTGCATTGTTTTTACTCACGAGTATTCACTGCATTGTGAAGAAAATAAAGCTATATTTCTTCAACTGAAATGGCTTCCTGTGCCGCATGTATCATATGAAGATAATGAGATGTAGAGAACTATTTGCATAATAGAATACTAGTTACAGCCTTATTTATAAATAGCAGCAAAAACAACCCCCAATACAACAGTACAGTGTTGAGTCTTGTGTTATATACTTTATAGAATTGATGAAAAATATATATTTTTAAATAATTTTAATGGTTGAAAAAAATCCTCATGATGTACTATTCAGTGATAACCATGACATCTATATATAAATAGGCATTTCCAATCACATAAAAGTTGTTGGCTTTAAATGTCTTATAACTGCACTACAACTTTCAGGATACCCTCCACATTTGGATATAAGTATACAGTTATTCATATAAATGGATAGATAAAAAACTTTAAAGTAATGTTATATTTTAATTTTAAATGAAGCTGATCGTATATTATATACAGTCTCTCCATTTTGTAATTATAGGTGATATAGTTTATGTCCATATAATTTTGTACTTTCTGTATGTCTATAAAAGGAACATATGTTATAACTATCAGTTATAACTGATAGTTAAGTATTTGTGCTGTAAATATCAGAAGAAACCAACAGAATCATGGGGAGATAGAAGTGAGAGCATTTTTTGTTGTGCAGAAAAAGAAAAAAAAGCTGTATCATTGGGTAATCAGCGGGAAATAATCTGTATGTTTCTGCTTTTCATATTTTTTCTATGAATTGAACTTTCCTATATAACATATAACTTGCTTTCTTTTTTAAAAAGTAGTTTCTCTCCTTTCCTTTACACCAAATTCCTTAATACGTTATTCTTGTTCTTTTTCCAGAGAAACTCCAGACTGAGCTGGGTAAGTATGAAGTGCTGACACACACCTGTGCAGGGAGCTTCTGCCCTCCCCAGCAGAGGGAGGGGAGTTACCATGAGACCTTGTGATCAGAGGAGGAACTGAGGCACAACTTTACCAGATCTTATGTTCATTAAATACCAGAGGGGACCAGCAAAGTGCAGCCTCATTCAAGACACTTCCACCGTGTAACCTGACACTTTGGGGGCTCATGGGGATTCCGGTGAGCATCAGATGGACACGTATAAGGAGCACTGCATCGTCTCTACTCTGTGTGTTGAGGGGAAAGGGAGTTACCTTGGAGTGTGTGGGATGACAGCAGACAGCTGGCCAGGGTCTGGAGGCCCTTTGAACACATTTCAAGTGTGAGCAAGGGCAGCATCATTATGATAACTGGGATTTGCACGCACCACCTCCCCACTCAACCCTGCTTTGGGGTCCTGCACCTGCTTCTCACCACAGCAGGCCCCTAACCTAATCACTATTGGGAAGGAACTGTTACTTTCTAGGTGCAGCCTGGGATCCTGTGACTGAGGCAATAATTTTTGTCTTTATAGTTGAACTGAGGGTATTATTTTACTGTACCTGAGATAAGTGGTTTAAAACATAACCAGCTGATGTCTGAGTCCCTTTCAGTTCCCCTTTACCTCCTTACGATCTCCCTCCTTTCCACGGCCTCTTCTCCCAGCCCAAGGCAACCTGCCTGCTCCCTGCCTAGGTGTATAGAACCTGGATCGCTTATGCCCTCCTTCTATCAACACCCTGCTCTCCCTCAAGTCACCTGCTCCAGGAATGTGGGCATGTGTGTGCTTTAGGTGAGCTTAACCACACCTTTCAGCCCACAAAAGAGATTTTGAGGAAAATTAGGGTAACAAACACAGTGCAATCTCTACCAGAGTCTAATGTGGCACCTTCAATCCCATCAGGCCATAAACATAAAGGGAAGGGTGTCTGGAAGGCGCAAGGTAACTCGGCAATCTGAGGAGAGACACACACCTGTGTACCTTACCCTTCTGAGATTAGGAAGTCAAGCTAGTGTCTGGGGCAGGTTGACACAAGTCTGTCTCTCAAGAAGGTTTTAGGAGAAGAGTCACTCCTCTGAGTTCTCTGAGACCCACTGGAGACCCAGCACACAAAATATGACCCCATGTTGTGTTGTTCCTAAGTCATGCTGACCTGCCGGGGCCACAATTAACCAAGGTGGAAATATGGAGCTTCCCTTTGCTTCCTGTCAGGTGGGAGAGGAGGACTCTGGGCACTGAAGCTCTGCAGGTGAGCTCTGGTGATGGGACACACAGCTCTCTATGGAAATCCTAAGACTGAAATCCCTGCTCATACTCTAGTAATAATGTTTTTCATTTATAAAGATAATGATTAGGTTTTTTTGACATATTAATTGTATGCCAGGCACTATGCCAAATGTGATACAGGAATTGTTTCATTTTTTTCTTACAATAGTTACAAAGTTTAATTGCTTTATCCTCATTTTACAGCTAAGAAAAAAATCTTAGAGACATATCTGATTTGCCAAAAATCAGGAAGAAATGGTGATGTTTGCCTTCCAATCTACATCTCTCTAACCTAAGAGTGCAAGTCCTTAATTACTTATGTGTGACTTTATTGGCTCATTCATGTCTATTTTTCTCATCTTTAAAGTGAACAGGTTGAATTTAATCTGTAATGTAGTGTCCAGTTCTAAGAGACTAGATATAATTAGCGTATTTGAGAAATGAGGTAGTGCATTAATTGAATATGATGATTGAAAGAGGATTATGTGGTTTGATGATGAGATTATCAGGTTTCAAGGAATCGGTGTATAATTCAAGTGTATTTCACACTCCAGAAGGGATTTAATTTTTCGGTGGATATTCAGGAGGCACTTCAGAACATACACACAACAACCAAAAACAAAACAAAACAATACATTTCAGCACAAAGTTGTCTGGAAGGTTGTGTACAAAACTGCATAGAAAAAGGAGGTTAGCAACTACTGCATGTTCACACTTATAAGTGGGAGCTGATTGATGAGAACACATGGGCACATGGCAGGGAACAACACACACTGGACACCTGTTGTGGGGTGGAGGGAGGGAGAGGATCAGGAAGAATAGCTAACAGATGCTGGGCTTAACACCTGGGTGATGGAACGACCTGTGCAGTAAACCACCATGGCACACGTTTACCTATGTAACAGACCGGCACTTCCTGCATGTGTACCCCTGAACTTAAAAGATGAAGAAAAAAAGTGAGTTAGACATAGCGGCTCCCAAGGAGTTCATATTCTAGTAGAACATCAATTATTAACAAACAGGGCTGCATAATTTTTCTAGTACTTTAAACTTCAGTTTTACTTGGATACTGGACAAAAGGAATTTTGGCTATATTTATAATGCATCAAATTAATTGAATATCCATACTTATATTTTGCATTGTAATGGAATTACAATGGAATTTAGTCTCCATTGAAGTCCATTTTAACTCTTAATTACCTATGTCAGGCAGAGCAAGCCAGTTTAAGATCTGATATGTGCCACAGGTCACGGACAGGGAATAAAACCCTCATATGGATAAAGAAGATGAGGAAACAGTCTGTTTTATTAAGTAATTTACTGTAAGACATGTGGATGGAGAAACAGCCCCAAACTAATCCCTAGTCCATTTTTTTTTCTGATTCTTATCTTCAGACTTTAATAGATACATAGGGGAGGAAGATAATATTGTTTTAGGTAAAATTACAGGACAAAGCAAACAAAATGCTGGAAGTAACTGGGAGTCAAATATTACCTGAAGTGATTTTCCTCTCTACAAAGGTAGCTGGCAGTTTTCGGCCAATAACATAATGGGATGTTAATGCCTACAATTTGATGCTTGTGTTTCTATTATAAAGTATCACAATTTATGCAAAACCATTCTTATCATTTAATAGAAAAAGACAGCACTTAATTTAGAATAGAGAAAAATTGGCATGGGCAGGCCCGATGAGAATGGAAATGTAACATAGCTTGGGTCCAGGGAGGCCCTCAGAGATCATCTTTCCCCACCTTGCACAGTGGGAGAATTAGAGCCCTTTTTCACATTCCTCATTGTTTCACAATTTGTATTTTGCCAACCTTCCTAATTCTTGATCTTAAAATGTTAATCTTAATTTTCAAAATTATTCTGAGGACACTTAATTGGCCTGTGTCTATAACTCCACTATGTAGAACATTGGGGAAATAAAATTTAGTGGCTGGACCAGACTTACAAGGTACTATAAAGACTACCTAGATGAAGATTTCTTCAAATATCACTACCAAAAGTCCACATGAGACTCATTTTAAACCCCTCCCTGTTACCAAGTCAGAGGGTGGGAATGGCTCCAATGCCCTCAAGTCTCACAGGTCTGTGCCCCTCTGCTCACACTGCATGGGCTTCCAAGCACTTTATGCAAACTATTTTGTTCAACTCTGAAACAACATTATGATTTTGATAGTTGTATACCAAATTCATAGTTTAAGAAACTGAGGCATTAAGAAGTAGTTTAAAATCATACAGAATTGAAGTGTTAGAAGAAAAACTTTAAACAGATTAAATTTAGCAGAGTCTAACTGAGCAAAAGATGACTCATAAACAAGGCATCCCTCAGAATCAGAAAGGTTTCAGAGAATTTAAAGCAGCAATTTGGTCAGACAGCAGTTATAGACAGAAAATGGAAATGAGGTACAGAAAATAGAAGTGAGCTGCAGAGACGGCTCTACTGGCTGCAGCGTGGCGTTGCCAATTTGAATAAGGTTTCAACAGTTGACCACTGCAACTGACTGAAGCGCAGCAGCTGCTACTCAGCGATTTATTACAAAAGTGCACTCCTCAGTTAGGCTTAGCCCCTAAGTTAGGCTTATTCATAAAATGATTTTGCAATTAAAACTCCCAGAATAAAATGAGCAATTTATAAAGTTGGCCCCAGAATGCCTCTGTACCTGAGTGCCTATGTAACAAACTGTAACCTAAGTTAGGCTTTCAGTGGCTGATGTGCTAAGTTAGACTGCAGTTTGTCACATGAGGAGTCAGGTACAGAGCCATCTGGGCCAAATTCATAAACTGTTCATTTCATTCTGGGAGATTGATTTGTTTGTTTGCTTGTTTTAGACAGAGTCTCTCTTTGTCACCCAGCCTGGAGTGCAATGGCATAATCTCGGCTCACTACAACCTCCACCTCCCAGGTTCAAGTCATTCTTCTGCCTCAGCCTCCAGAGTACCTGCACTACAGGCATTCAAGACCACACCCAGCTAATTTTTGTATTTTTGTAGAGATGGGATTTCACCATGTTGACCAAGCTGGTTGAACTCCTGACCTCAGGTGATCCGCCCACCTCGGCCTCTCAAAGTGCTGGGATTACAGGCATGAACCACTGTGCCCATCCTATTCTGGGAGTTTTAATTGCAAAATTGTTTTATTATTGGTCTGTAAATTGAAAAAATTATAGGCAGAAGCAGGCAGGGGTTCAATTACCATTTTACTCGACTGACACACATCATGGACTGATTCCCCCTTAAAGAAGAACAACCTCTATTCTAAGTCTGTGACACCCCCACCTCACCTAAGGATGACCCTGAACCTCACAGCTTCCCTGGGATGCTCATGGTTTCTAAACTCCAACGGAGCTGTTCTTAGAGATGACATTATTGGTTCCATTTTGATTCTTTCATCATGTTTTGTCCACTGTATTCAACAGCTTCTTTAAAAGTGATTGGACCTTCCCAGCCCATCCTTGTCAGAGTGGGAGAAGATATACAGCTAACCTGTTACCTGTCCCCCAAGGCAAATGCACGGAGCATGGAGGTGAGGTGGGTCCGATCCCACCGTTATCCTGCTGTGCATGTGTATAAGGATGGGGACCATGTAGCTGGAGAGCAGATGGCGGAGTACAGAGGGAGGACTGTGCTGATGAGTGACACCATCGACGACGGCAGACTGACGCTGCAGATACTCAGTGCCAGACCTTCAGACGACGGGCAGTACCGCTGCCTTTTTGAAAAAGATGATGTCTACCAGGAGGCCAGTTTGGATCTGAAGGTGGTAGGTAAGAAGTCTAGAGAGATATTTTGTATTCAATACCTGCTCCTACCCCTTTAATATGCCAGTTCCTGGACAATTTCTCTGACATTTGAAATTTTCTTAATGCTCATTTATCATCAGATTTATATCAAATCCTCCAGTGTGCAGAACTGTCATAGTTACTTAAAATCCACAAATCAAATGGATGAAATTTAATTATTTTGGTATAGAACTTGTATCTTTTCCAGTATCTTCAAAAATTGACCATATCTTTAAGGAAATCTGAGTATTTTACTACATATTTTACAAAAGATTCATTGTTTTACAGTGTGTTATTAGAATTTGGGGAAATGTGATAAAATTCTAGAAAGTGTAATTATTTGAAGACTAAACTGGAGCCACTGTGTAAGCAAAAATTATAAAGATTGACAGCTTTGGCAGGGACAGGGGAGGAAAGATGAAGTCACTCCCTGCAGCATCATTTCCACTGTCTATATGTGTGAGAATTGACACGTCCAGTGTTAGCAGATGCCACTGAGTACATATAGTCTGAAGTCTTTGATATGCCATGTGTTTCTCCCATGGATTTTGATTCTAAATTAATAAACATGTTTAGGAAATAGCCTCAGGAATGCATGTTGAAAAATTACACGAGCCTCGTATTTTCTGCCATTGGACATAGACATTTATAAGGTTTCAATTTTTGAGAATATCCTCCTACTCAATATTTTAATCCTGTCCATGTGACCCAAAAAGTTATTTTGTTCTCAGGGACAGAATAAATGTTGGATTTGAACATTTACCCTACCTCTTAATCGTTCCAGAATGATTTAGCTATACAAAACATAAAAATAAGCAAACAAACAAAACAGGAAAATGCTCCAGCCAGCCTCATCCCTGAGTGGAGTGCAATCCCCCTTAAGCTTTTCTCCCTTCCCCAAGACCCCACATCACCATCTTTTCTTCCAGTGAAATTGCTTTCCACACAGCCACTTGAAAGGACTCTACACTTCGGTTTCTTTTTCTCTGTCCCCAGGTCTGGGTTCTTCCCCACTGATCACTGTGGAAGGGCGAAAAGATGGAGAAATGCAGCTGATGTGCTCTTCAGATGGGTGGTTCCCACAGCCCCACGTACAGTGGAGGGACATGCAAGGAAAGACAATACCATCATCTTCCAAGGCCCTGACTCAAGGCAGCCATGGGCTGTTCCACGTGGAGACATTGCTACGGGTCACAAACATCTCCACTGTGAACGTCACTTGTTCCATCAGCATCCCCTTTTTGGGCGAGGAGAAAAGAGCAACTTTTTCTCTCTCAGGTTGGTGATTCCATATGTTCCTTCAGGCTTGGAAAATAAATATGAAGACCAACTCAGACCTACTCACTGTATTGCTCTTCTTCCTTTTTGATTTTTATTTGCTTCTCTCTGACGAGGTCTCCTGCTATCTACTGCAAAGCTGGTTTTCAGGACACCCAGGGATTGTACTCCTCTGAGTTTCTCCCTGACACCCTGAACTAGAGCCCTGAAATTATATTTAGCATTGGATACACACTAAATTCTCATAATTGACCCTGTCTTCACTCTCTCTAAATTCATTTCTTCTGATGTGAAAACAATCACAACACTTTGTGTTTTCCCCTCATGGGACACTTTCTTCTGAATTAGAAACTGATTTTCATTAGCACCATCTTCATAGTTGTGGCTTCGGTAATTTTATCCTTCTGCCCCCAAGTCATTCCAGTGATTGTGTGATGTAGCTGGAAGAGGGAAGGAAAACAGCTTGTCTGTGCATGTGTACATTTCTGAGACGAGCAAATACAAAATACTTGCAGTCTCTCCTCTGCATCTCCAGAGCAGGGAGGAACAGGCCAACTGCCTCCTGAGATGCCCAGTTCCCTCCCTTCTCTCCAGCCTAGAAGCTGCCCAGATGAAAAGTACAATTTTGATTTTGTTTCAGTTTCAGTTTCATGGGATTCTTGGGTTTCCATTTTAGAGTCCAGGATGACTTTTTTATGGAAGACACTGTTTATTTTGGGATTGCTTCTTGCTGTGGCTGTAGGCCTGCTCAGGAGGAGGGGCTGAAAGAGGTAAGTCACGGAAACAGAAACAGAGGAGCACATGCAGTGGGAACCATACTGTGTACTTCCCCAAGCCTCCCTTTTCAGAAGTCACCCATGGGAGACGTTCAGTGACTATCCAGTAACTAAGGAAATGTGAGAAACAGGAAAGCACATGGCTTACTATGCACTACAGGATCAATAATGAATGAGGTCAGAGTTTCCACTTGTAACAGAAGCAAAAGGATTAAAAGATAATAATTTTATTCCCTGCTGCCCATTTCCCAGTGATCTAGCTAAGGAAGAAGATGGAAAAAGTTAGTGGTATAGCCATCCTCGTTTTTGAGGCTGAGAGCTGGTGTTCACTGAGACTTGTTGGCACGAACATTGTCCTGTGATCTTTAAAAATGAGGTGACCTCCTTGTTGGTGATTTCTGTTTTGCTGGTGATTTCTCATCTGTTAGGGAGGCTTTTTGGGTGCTCTAGAAAGGGCTTCCACTTTTAATATCTTATGTCCGTGAAACACTTGTCTTCCTGTTTGGCTGTTAATAGCATTAAATTATATTGATTAATTATCAGAATGGATTCTCTTTCTTTACAGTGAATGTGACACTGGCTTCAAATACAGCTCATCTGAAACTGATTTCTTCTGAACAAAACGAGAGTGTGATCCATGGACATTCGGGCAGCCAGACGTCCCACAGAGATCTGACTGTCTGCTCTGTGAGCCAGGGGCAACTCCTGTCAGGGAGCTGGTACTGAGAGGTGGAGGCCGGGGACAGGGTGCAATGGGTCCCAAAGGTTGCCAAACACATGTTGCAATGAAAGGAGTCACCTCTGTGCCACCTGACAGTGAGTTTTAGGCAACAGATTGCAAAAGAAATAAGTACTGGGCCATCACCTCTCTTCCAAGCCTCCTCTTCTTGAAGGTGGCCCCGAACAAATCAATCCCCCTGACCTTGCCTCTGAATACCTCTCCTCTTGTAACGTGATTGGCAAGTGCCCTATCTTCACCTTCCCCAAAACTTCCTTCTCTGGGACTCCACAGCCCTCTTCATTCTTTGGTTCCCTAATGTAGGTTCTCTGGATGTTTTTTCTGTACCCACAAGAACATCTCCAACATATCCAAGGAAAACAACAATCTGGGATTCTGGAAACCAAAATGATATTGAGTCCTGATCGCTTTCTCCTTTCTCTAACTGCTTGAAGGGGGCTTCCATGATCATCAGCATACCAAGTCAAGGGTGCTTTAATTCTACTCAGGAAAATCTGCTGGAGACTGATCCCTTCGGAGACCTATTCTGTCCCAGGTTCTCTGGGATTCAGCCTACCAATCACGATCTGACATCTGATAATCAAGGAACCTTAGAAAATCCCATGGGAAATATAGATTAGCCTACGGGAAGAAATGAAAGGAATAATCAAGATTTGATCAGTTCCGTTTTTTCTTTTTCTTTTTCTTTTTTTTCTGAGACAGAGTCTTGCTGTATCACCCAGGCTGGAGTGCAGTGGCATGATCTTGGCTCAGTGCAACTTCCACCTCCCCGGTTCAAGCAATTCTCTTGCCTCAGTCTCAAGAGTAGCTTGGATTACAGGCCTGTGCAACCACGCCTGGCCTATTTTTGTATTTTTAGTAGAGATGGAGTTTCACTTTGTTGGCCAGGCTGGTCTCAAGCTCCTGGCCTCAAGTGATCCACTTGCCTTAGCCTCCCACAGTGCTGGGATTACAGGCATGAGCCACCGCCCCTGGCCTGATCAGTTTCTTTAAGATGGTGACAATTAATTGTTTACATAGGTGGAACTGAGAAATTTTTTTTTAATACAGTTTTAAAAAGTGAGTAAAAATACAGCTGCTTAAGAGGGAGAAAAATCTGATCACTAAAATATAATCTTGGAAATCTTATAAAGTGTTGTAAAATCCCTACTCCAGATTTTTTGAGAAAGTTAATACAGGAAATGGAGTTAGGAAAAAATTTTAGACTTTCCAATCCAGGAGAAAAATTATGTACCACCTATATGAACATGTCAATTTTATTGTTAGAGGAAAATAAAGTGCACAATTTAAAATTAATAATTATAAAATAAACAAATATAAGCAGTACATGTAACACAGTAAAAATATTTTAGTCATACTTCAAGAAGATAAACTATATGTGGAAAAAAGAAGAATGTCAACGAGAAAGACCCTTGGAAAGGATGTTTCGAGGTGAGAAGGAGAATGCCTGCCAGTGGCACTCTGGGCTTTCCAGGCTGGCAGACGGCACACAGGCATCGCGGTCCTGTGGATCACTCACGTGCAGCACTCTGGACTTGCTGTTCTGGGCCATCGTATTTTTTTTCTATTTTTAAATTCATAATTTTAAACACATAAATGTTGGAAGCTATGCCTTCTTCTTCCACAAATGTACACATTTATTTTATTAAACATTTTTTTCAATTGTGGTAAAATACACGTAACATAACACTTACCCTTTTAACCATTTTAAAGTGTACCGTACTGTGGTATTTTGTATGTTACATTGTTGTGTGATCATCATCGTCACTTTCTAGTTCCAGAGTATTTTCATCACCCTAAAGGAAACTCCATACTCATGAAGAAGTTACTGCCCATTTTTCACCCCCTACTCCCAGGTAATCTATGTTCTGTCCCTATGAACTTTTCTATTCTGAATATTTTATATAAATGGAATCATAAAATATCTGTCTGTGTGTGTGTATGTGTATATGTTGTGGCTTCTTTCACTTAGCCTAATATTTTTAAAGTTCTTCCATGTCATAGCATGTACCAGTGCTTCATTCCTTTAAAAAAAATTAACAGACATTATTTTTAAGAAGAGTTTTAGATTTATGACAAAATGGAATGGAAAATCCAGATAGCTCCTATGTCCCTCCTCTCGCTCCTGTTACTAACATCTTACATTAGTGTGGCACATTTGTTACAACCCTTGAAAGAACAGAGACACATTATTTTCAACTAAAGTCCACAGTTTACATTAGGTTCACTTTTTGTGTAATATAGTCTCTGGAGTTTAACAAACGATTTTTACATTTACATTGATATATCTTTATGAAGACAAATTTATTAGTAAATATATTAGGTTTATCTGAAAATATTTTAACATTATTTTGATCTAATGTAATTTAAAATAACTTGTTGCACAACATCTAAAGGTTAACTATTATTTTTCAGTTACTTTTGGGTCTTCTTTCCTAGTCAGTGTAACTCTTTGCTTGTTAGTCTGTGCTTGTGAAGGCCCTATGGATAAATAAATTCATTTACCAGGGGGAAAGTCTCATGAAAATTGTTTATTATCAGTCACGTTCTCTCACTGTATATTAAAAAACATACTTTCCTATAGCTTCTGAAATTGGTGATTACTTTCTGAGTTCCAATTCCAGTTAGAAAAGCCACAGGAAGGAGAGGAGTTGGTGGTGTGAGGATGATGCCCCAGTCGCTGGAAATCCCTATGGCTGATGGCTGGGTAATTGGGCTGGTGCCTCAGGATGCAGTTCCCTCCCCTCCTGGTGTATAGACACCTGGGTGTAGTCATTAAAGCTGAGCCGCTCTCAGAATAGATGTCCAGATTGGCTGGATCTCAGTTTCAGGGAGAGGACGGGAGGAAGCCACAGAGACTAAATTGTTAACCTGCCTGACACTTTCCTCCTTTGTCAGTACAATTTAACCCATGAGGACAGTGATTTTTTTCTTCTTTTTTGTCTAGCCCTACAATCTATAAAAGTGACATATATTGATTCATCAATAAACATTTGTAAAATGCACGAATTGTTTCATAAAGTGATATTTACTGAATATCTTACCTGTTGAATGTGCTGTGCTAGGGCCTACAGATACAATCCTTAATAGGACATAATTCCCTCCCTCAGGTCTTTCTTTTTTGCAGTAGAGTCACTTTGTTTTTGGAATGTCTGTGAAATGGAAAGTTTATACCTGCATAAACTTTACTAAAAGCAGTAGTACCAAAGTAGTCCAGCAATAAAGAATTAATTGATGTAGCCACGTGGTGAATTCACTTTTCCAGAAACGATAGGCTACTTGGAGACCCTACACTACCTATTGATTTGCTCAAAGCTACAAATGAAAATAAGATAAACACCGTTATACCTGACATTCCGGAAGCTCTGAGTCCAACAGACCATCTACCTTCATGTGTTTTCTACCCTGTCTCCCACCAGCCACTGCTCCCCAGTCCCTAAGCTTAGAAGGACAAACACCCATTAAAATGAGTAAAGAAGTGACAAGTGGAAGAATCTTGTTATAGAAAAAAATGAATTTGGACTCTGAAGAAGAGATATAAAAACTCCTCTTGAGCCTCATAGTGAATGTCCTAAGTGTATAAGAAGTAAAATATCTAAGGCTGAACCTGTCACCTTTCTTGTTCTGTATCACAGTTCCACCCCCATCTGTTCCTGTTTTGCTGTTACCCCATGTTTAGGGTTCACATGTCCAGAAGTCCCTCCTCACCCACCATGTCTATTTGATTACAACTATTAATATTTTATCACTGTTTATTTACCTCTGTCCTGCCTTGATCATTTCTTGATGAATATGTAAGCCTCCCTTTAGGGTCAGTGAAATCAGGACTAGGCTCTGGGTTGATTCTTCCTGGCTTCAAATACTGGCTTTGCCACTTAGTATGTGCCGGGAAATTTTACCAAGGAGATACAGTTTGCAGGAGAGGTTGATTAGAAGGACTTGTGGTTTACAGATCTGCAAATACTGTAGAAAAAAAATCTAAGGGGATCTCTTCCATCATCGGGAAGAAAGGATTCATTTAACAGGAGAAGCTCGGCCTGGGGCAGTGGCTCACACCTATAATCCCAACACTTTGGGAAGCCAAGGCAGATGGATCATGAGGTCAAGAGATCAAGACTACCCTGGCCAACATGGTGAAACCCCGTCTCAACTAAAAATACAAAAATTAGCTGGGCTTGGCGGTGCACACCTGTAGTCCCAGCTGCTCAAGAGGCTGAGGCAGGAGAATTGATTGAACCTGGGGGTTCAAGGTTGCAGTCAGCCGAGATCGTGCCAGTGCAGTCTGGCCTGGAAACAGAGAGACTTTGTCAAAAAAAAAAAAAAAAAAAAAAAAAACACAGGAGAAACTCATATTCTATATCCTTGAAGACAAACTTGGTGATAAACAGTTGGCAAAGTCTTAGATGCAGTAAGTACAAGGAAAACCCTCAACAGTGGGTAGAACAGGTCAGGAAGAAGAAGAATGCCAGCCAGGAGCGGTGGCTGATGCCTGTAATCCCAGCACTTTGGGAGACAGAGGCAGGTGGATCACCTGAGGTCAGGAGTTCGAGACCAGCCTGGCCAACAGAGAGTAACCCCATCTCTACTAAAAATAAAAAATCAAAAAAATTAGCCAGGCGTTGTGGTGCTTATCTGTAATCCAAGCTACTCAGGAGGCTGAGGCAAGAGAATTGCTTAAACCCAAGAGTCAGAGGTTGCAGTGAGCCAAGTTTGCACCATTGCACTCCAGGCTGGGTGACAGTGCGGGACTCCACCTCAAAAAAAAAAAAAAAAAAGAATACTAATGTTAGCAACTACTCTTGCTACAGATGTTTCTTTATTTCTACTTTACTGCTTTCTCTCCTAAACTGCAACACTGACTCCTCTTCCATTTACATTCTCACATAGGATGCAATTTTGGACTTGCTGACCAGTGAGAACTTGTAAAAGAAAATGGCTCTTTCCTTCCAGAAAGCTTTGGCTCCTCCTCCAATGATTTACAGTTATACATGAGCCTTCCCTGTCCCTTGACAAAGTCCAAGATTAGGAGGTGATGGTACACTAGAGCCTGAGGAGCAAACACACTGAGCTATTAAAGGACTTGAACAGATTTCTGTGCATCTCCAACAGTGGTAATGGAAGTGAGAATTCACTCTATTGCAATAGTTCCCTTCAAACACCACCCTCCTCCATATTTGATAACAAAAATAAGAAGAAGAGATCTTCCCTGTAAATGTAGCTTTAAAATTATTTACTTCAACACATACTCATCATGAAAATAGATGAGAAACCTATGCACTTGTTTAGAGTTTCCTTGTGAGAAATTGTTGCTGGACCCACAAAGAGACTATTTCCCCAATGGTAACACTGGAGGAAATCTCCCTGGACATTTTCCAGTTTGCTCATTTCACTTTCTGCCTCTCCCTCTTTGATAGAGGATGAAATCACACCTAGTGATATTGACCTACTCACCATCCAAGGACAGCTTTCCTGATGATGTACCTACAAGACACTCCAGCGGAGATGCAGCAGTGCCAACACTTTGCCGCTTATTATGCTAATACAAAGTTAGCTTCCTGGGCAACATCTCTATCATGACTCATTAAAGAAATTACAGAGGTAACTGGAAAAGAATCAGGACAATTTTCACCATGATCTAAGCAGAAGAATACAGA